AATATTTTAGAATAACCGCCAAATAATTCAAATACATTTTTTGTATACTAATATTATTCATTATTTTATAAATAAATATATATAAATCAAATATACATATTTAAAACAATAATCTTCTCATTAGTAAAAAAACTTCATTTGTTAATTTTCATACAAGTTTTTATACTAATTGTTGTTTTATTTCTTCAATGCAATGTTAAAAAAAAAATTAAGACGTTCTTTAAAAAATTTATATTAAAATTTGTTTATTATGGGTTTTTATTTAAGAATAAATGCTTAAAAAAGAAAAAAAATCATATTTTCTTCGCTTCAAAATTTATTCAAAACATAAAAAATATATATAGGTACAAAATTTTGATTAAAAATTAGAAAATGAGATGAAAGTTTATCTTTTATATTTAATTTAATATATTTTAATTAACCAACAACAATATATGTTATCAAACTGAAATAAACATGTTTAGTTCGATCACATAATGTAGCATGGTAATCTAAATTGTTCATATATATATATATATCTAAAATTCTTATTCACTTACTCTACATATGCATAAAATTACTATTTACTTGATGAAAATTTAAGTAACTTTTGTGTGTTGTTTTTTGTGTGTTTTTGGGGCATTAATATGTAAATTTAACACTTTTTCTTATTTTTGTTCCTCATGTTGTAATATTTTTTTCAATTCTCCGCTTTCATTTTTCTTTCACCTTCACACGGTGTGTGTATGTATTAAAATTAACATATACTTCAGCTTATATTACTCTTATTATTTAAATTTCATTCTTTGAATTTATCATTTTTTATGAAAATTCTCATCCAATTAATATTATTCATATAAAATTTTATTTACTAATAAATATAATTTATTTTTCTCTATATTTGAATTTTAGAATAAAATTTTAAAACATGATTGTTTTTTCATTTTCAAAAAATAAATTGGTATAATATATATCATGAATTCTAAGAATTTTTAAATGATAGTTGCATATATATAAATATATAATTATTTTATTCTAATATGTTAAAAGTTTATTTCAAATAATTTATTTCACTTTACTAGGTATGGTTAAGAAGTATAGAAAAACTATTGAATCATTATTTTATTAAAAATTAACTATAACTCTTCCAACATGATGCAAATTATTTACTATGAATATTTTTTTTAACATTATAGAACAAATTTATTTGACATAAAATAATTAAAATAAGTTTTTAAAGAAATCAACTAATTATTCAAATGTAGTTTTTTATACTAATTTTATTGATTATTTTGTAAATAATTATACAAAGATCAAGTGCATATACTTTAAGAAAATAATTTCTCACCAATATTAAATAAGAATAAAATTTTATTTTTTCATTAGTTGATTTTTATGCAAGTCTATAAATTAATTGTAACTTTATTTTTTGGATACATTCCTATAAAAAAATATATTTAAAATTTTCTTTTGGATTCTTAATTAATTTTTCAAGTTTAAATTATTACAAGTTTTTTTTTTAATCCCTAAATAAAGAAGAGCAAATCATGTTTTTTTTAAGCAGAAATTTTATGAAAAAAGTAGTAATAATTAAATAAAAAATTAACAAAAAATTATAAAATTTTGAAATGATTTTATTCTATTTTCCCGCAGCGTTCCGCAAATAATTTCAAAAATTAATCTTCTCATCAGCATTAAATAAGAATTTTTTTTTCATTTGTTAATTTTGTAAAAGTCCGACCATTAGTTATAAATTTATTTTTTGACATATAATATTATGAAAACTATGTTTTAAAATTTTTTAATTCTTAATTAATATTTTATTTAAAATTATTATAATTTTTATTTTAAAATTAATACATAACGAAGAATGATTTATATTTTTTTAAGCAAAAAATTTATGAAAGACATTAAAAAATTATTTAAATAAAACTTATAGTTAAAAATTATAAAAGTTTACAAGTGATTTTGTTCTATCGAACCCACGACGATAGCGCGGGGCAACTCGATGGTTATTTCTAAGTGAACTCTCGTCCCAAACCAAGCGACGTGGGATTGTTGAATATACCCATTTGAATATTCTTGTGCTCTTGTATCCCACAATGAAAGAAAACAAAATAGGAACATGGAAGTAAGGCTATAAAAGCAACCTAGTTAAGTTTGTGTTCAAGTATTCCACATGAAAAAAAAATAAAATGATTTCTTTTTTTTTTTTTTTTATGAATGTCTGGATTGTAATAGAGAATTTCCAAATTCTTTGTAAGTACTTAAAAGTTTAAATGAGTCTTTTAAGTTTTAAAAGTTTTGTAAATTCTCTTTTTCCTTGAAACTTAAAAAAACCAAAATATTTGCAACAAAAAATTAAGGAACTGAAATTTATTTGGTTTGGGTTTGGTTTATGATTTTGAGGATTTCATTAATTGAAAATTTAAGCCTAAAACATTTGCAACCAAAAATCAAGGAATTGAAATTTATTCGGTTTAGGTTTGGTTTATGATTTTGAGGATTTGATTAATTGAAAATCGAACCGAAATTGTACAAACAAGTAACCAAATGAACACCCTTAGCAGTAGCCATTCGGGTTAACAAAATGCAAGAATTGATTTTTCACTTAACTAATAAGGTTGTTTGCAGCAGAGAACTACTTGCACAATTTTGTTGATAAAGTAACAAGTATTAGCAACACATGGTAAAATGGATTATAAGTTTGCTCTAAATAATGTCACAAATGAAATGGTAAGTAATATAGAAAAAAAATTTATAGCAAAGTTTTCAACAAATTACTTTATATTTGATTCTTATTTATAGCACATAAGCACAAGACTCTTAATGAGGGAACAATATGAGAAATATAATTAACAAGTCGAGCATTTTCAAGAATAAGAAGCATTTAGGATCCTTCGATGTCTTTAATTACAAAAAATTTACGTCTTTTAAATGAAGGAAAATTTGTAATTTTCTTCACTTTCTTTCTTTTTTTAGATTAATGCTTACCTTCTATGTGTGTCTCGGTGTCGCTTGGCCTCAAATGGAGGGACACCATATAAAAATTCATATCATAAAAAACCCAAACTCTATATATAAATGCTTGCATCATGCTTTACACTTTCCATCGCACCATAACGGAATATCGAAACAATTATTATTCGATGGAATCGGATAAAGTTATTGCTTTGGAAGAGCTATTTTTTCACATTGACAATCGGCATTTGAACGGCTTCATTGCATTCAAACCAAACAAGTGATTTTAATACAAATTTTAAATTGAAATTTAGGTTTTGATATAGTTTAGTTTAAAACAAATTAGATTAATAATATTTTTTTTATATTTGTTCGGTAAAAAGTTAGATTAATACTAAATTGATGACCTTATCAATAGTTCAATGAAAAATGAATGCACAATTTGGGATTGACTTTTTACTTAGTTTTTCACGGATGACACTACTAATGAGGTCATTATTCTTGAATTAATATTGATGGTTGGATCACTTATAATTCAAACTCGATTGATGTAGTTTGATATATGCTGAATCAATAGAGTATATCTACAAAACATGTCATCCTCTAGTGTTTGTAGGATCTTCCGATGGCTAAGTTAGCATATGGAGAGAGATGTTTGGCCTCAATAGGATTAATAATATTTAACTCTTAGTATGAGAAGACATGTGATATAATATTTGTTTTTACCTTAGAAGTCAAAACTTGTAACACTTGGTGTGCTAAATTTTATATAAATACAATGGTGATCAACTTACATGGAATAAAGAGTAGGTTGGTCTCTTTCTTTATATTCAATAGCTTCTAACATCTCGCTTGAAAGTTTAGGATTCTTTTATAGAAATGTTATTGTCTAACGATGCATTTGCAATTATATTTAGTGGTGATGTGACAAAAACATTCTAGAAAGCCACACATTTGATATTTGATGGTGATGTGATAAAAACATCTTAGGAAGCCACACATTCATCAAATATGTATTTTTTGTCTAGTAAGTAGGAGATGTGGTGTCTTCTTTGTTTGAATTGTTTGCTCGTATTACATGTACAAGCTTTACCCGCTTATGAGACCCTACAATGGTTGGTTGTGATTATCCCGTTCATGGCAAATTTTTTTTCGAATGGTCTTTCAAAGGAGTAGAGAGACGTTTCATGACCACGATTATGTGGATAGATTACCTTGTATATTAGGATTTCCAATAGACCGAGAGCCATCTATAATTAAGAAAGTTTAATTTAATTTTGGGCCCATCGAAGGAAGAATTAAAATTTTAAGTTCGTATAAATGACTTTTTTCATAATAAGATAATTTTAAATCTTATTTCTCATAATGAGGTAGTTTTAAACTTAATTATCAAAATAAGGTATTATATGCCATATAGAATCCATGTCATTTGTAAAAATTGACATGTCATTCTTATTTTTAATAAAATCATTTAAAAAAGTATTTTTCAATCATAAATTAATATCCTCCTTTAACTATCCTTACTACCATTACCTTCTCTCGCATATGTATCAACGCTTGTTTTTTCCTTTTTTTTTTGCTTTCGTTCTCTTTCTGTCTTCTCCATGTCTCATAACAATCTTTGTTTCTCCTCCTACTGGAAACTTCAATTTTAATGGCCTCAATTTCAATCCCAAACTTGATTTATATGGGTAATTAAATAAAAAAAGAACTGTGTATGTCTCGTGCTTGTTTTTTTTATTTTTATTATGATTGAAATTTGTTGTATCTTGAATTTTTGATGGTGTTGAAATTTGAATAAAATTAAGCCCATATCATGTAGTTTCGGACCTACACATCAATGAGTTTATTGTATCTTGAATCTTTGATGAAGTAATGTCGCTTTCATTTTGGTTCTTGATCGAATGTCATGCTATGTAGTTTGTGCAAATTTTGTGATTTGTGTATTGCGAAATACTTGCCGATTTATGGTTTATGAATTCTAATATGTGTCAAAATCATTTTATGCAATTTCTTGGACATGCTCAATTGTTTCATAATATTGTACCCTCCGTAGATTAATGTTGTCCGCATTCAATGTAGGTTTGATTTCTAATACATCTGTTGTGGGTTTGGAGATTGGGGAGAAACAAGAGCCAAGATTAGTCTCTAATATACTTATTGATACTAATTCAATGAATAGTTTGATTTCTAGGTTATTTGGGAGAGAATATGTGAGTAATGGTATCAACTAAATTGACGTAAATTGTTTCACCTCGTTGGAAGCCTTTTATTAAGGATGAAAATTCAAGTAATGAGGGGGGGGATGTCGTTGGTAGAGCTCGGGGATTGTTATGATACAAGGATTCGAGTCGGCATGTTAATGGGGAATTTTCAATGGTAGTAATTCAAGCAAACGAGTTTATTAGAAGACTACAATCAACTTGAATCGGGGCCAATGAGCTCGGTTAACTCGGTCCTCAAGGAACATTTGTAGGAGTTTATGATGGCCATAGAGGTCCGTAAGTTGCCCGGTTTGTAAATGAATTCCTTTTTGAAAACATCAAGAGTATGCCTTTTTTCCTCTTTCATGATGAATTTCATTCTCATTCAAATGATTTTATCTTGTCATTCATGTCATCCCAATTTGGTCTCATTCAAATGAATTCCATGATTAGTTTGATATAATTTATAGGTATAGGCAACGGATTTTGAAGAACTCAAGAGGGATATGATCGCTTGGTCGTGAGTATCTTGGCGGGAAAAAAATTGCAGATGCTTTATCAAAGAGAGATGAAGAAGTGACTTCGATTGTAATTTCTAGACATGTTCCATAATGGCTCTAACAAATACGAGTAGAAGCATAGACCTTGCTAACATTCGGTGATTGGTTTCGTTTTTCTATTTAGTATAGCTTCTACTCAAATAAAAACAAGCGAGTTTATCTTTTAGAAAGTAATCTCTTTCGATCAAATTTTTTTCCATCATTTCATGTATGATAACTAATAAACCTTTTGTATATGCAATAACACTAATTGAATTACTATTATTCAATCATTATTTTTTAATTATTTACGCATTATTTTTCCAAGCTTCTATAAGTTGAATGAACAAAATAATTAAATATTCAAACTATTAATCTGCATTGCTAACATGAGGTTAACTTATAAATGCCAATCAATGGAAAATAAATAAAGACTGTCTAATTACACACACTTCATTGCAATGCTCCTTATCTTTGCTATGTACTCAAAATTTTGGTTAAATAAAGAAAATTTATATATATATAAAATAATGATAATAAGATGGTGACTTTAATTTCTATAGTACTCTTAAAATTTTTCAAACAATCAATTATCTTGAATGTTAACTTTAAATTTAATTATACGGCAGAGTCTTGCAATAAAATGAACTAAAGTAGGGGAAAAAATTGAAAGGCCATTTTGCTTTTGAATATGTTTATGAAGAGTCTTGTGATCAAGAAATCCATATTACGCATCATTGTTTGACATCTAAAATTTATAAACTCTAAAATATTAAAAAAGATAACAAGTTAGAAGCATATCCACTATAGAAGCATGGAATATATTAACCTAAATAAATAAATAAAATATAATTACCAATTATTTTGATGAACAAGTTCAACGATCATGACCCAATTGTTTACACAATATCGACAATCATGACCCGATCATTACCAAAGCTTTTTATGAGGTTTGATAGCTTTAAAGAGAGAAAAATATTGATGTAAAAGTTAACAGGTAGTGATTTCTAGTGTCGAAATGAATAAAAAAAGCCACCAATCTAGCATAGAAGTATTAAATCAGCAACAAAATCCATAACCTAAATCCAAAAATTCCCTTTAAACACAACCTAGGAAGAACAAATGTTGAAAATTTTTCAAAGCCCTGTAAATAAACCCCAAGAGAATTATGTTTTTTTTTTAAAAAAAAGTTATGATGCTGAACAAGCAAAAAAGAAAAAAGAAAAAAAGAGAGAAAATAATCCAACATATGAGTCTAGTCAATTGCTATTATGATGTAGTTTACTCCAAACTATGCTAACTGTTTGAATTCTCAGTTTATCATGTGGTGCTTAGGGTTAATGAGAGGTGCAACGACAATCGCTTTATCTTATAACAAAGTATGTCTAAAATTTTTAACATGTTGCTTCAATTATGATGTTTGGTTTCTAGATTGAAGATATAGAAAACCCATGGTTTCAGACGTATGTAGTTGATAACCTAAGCATAAAAGAGTTGAGAAAATTTTATCAAAATTAAATAAATAAAAATAAGAGAATTTAGAAAAGTACCTTAATTGATAATATACATATGCTAAAGAACTTTTCTAGTAATTATGATTTTGAATTATGAGAGTATGTGAGTTTTAAGAAATTAAGACAAAGACAACAAAAGAGAAACAAAGAGCCTAAATTAATTTGTTCTTTTATGTTTCTAATTTTGTTTAAATTATTATATTAAATATGTATTATAAAACATAGTTAGAAAGATGACATAGATGCCTACATGGCAAAACTACATCTTTTTTATAAATAAGATTTAAAATACCTGATTTTGAAAAAATAGATTAAACTCTATTTAAGGAAAAAACTTCTATATAAATGACCTAGCACATTATTAATTACATTTTTTTTAATGTGTATAAAAAATCAAATAGGATTATATCCTAGGATAGAGAGACTTTAGGATAGAGGGAGTAGCATAGAGAAAATAAAAATTTTAACGAATGTTAATATTAATAACTGAATTAAAAAAATTAATTTTTCTATAAATAATTTATTATTTTGAAGTTTTTTGTTCCTCTCACTCTACATTAAATAACAATTTCTCTTATCTTTCATAAAAAGAAAAAAACAAAACAATTTCTTTTATCTTAGATGTACGTACGTTGGTTATATTATATGAATAAATTATTTTGGTAATATACAAGTATTTTCAATTTTCTCTTTTGGTAAGTCCGCTCGAATTTGGTGAATACCTGGATATTATGGTAGTATTCATAGAAAGTGGTTTTAAATTACGAAAAAATTCCTCTTGTTTTGCATTTTGTATTAATGTGGGCACGTAATTAATGATCATCCTAAACCTATATATATACGATATCCCTTTACAACCTGGTGTATTCATACTCGTGATAAAAGACATAAAGACTTTGGTGTATAGATTTATACAGCACTCTATGAAGGCTAAGATATCCTTCAGCGGTTCACCCTTTTCTTCATCCTTCTCCTTGTTTTCTCAGGTTTGTTCTCTTATCTTTTATAATTGCATCTTTTCAATGAACTCTATGGAAAACCATAATTTTGCTATTAATAATAAATTCACCAATGTTCCATTTCTATCCATATAATTTAAAATTTTCTAATATTACCTTACAGTCCTTAACAAATTTCAATGTTGGCCTTTACTGATACTTTCCTCTCAAATGCTATGTATGTTATCTAACCAAAAAACACTCAAAAACCAAACTCAAAAGGTAGGTTATTTTGTGGTTTAGAGATAATATATATATATATAGACTTTCTTTCTTGGACACATAGAGTATTAATTAAAATTACAAATAATTGTTTTGTTTATAAAAGAATTAAGAAATTTTACGACTCAAACCAACTCAAATGGAACAAATTGTATAGAAAGAGAAAAGAATAAGAAAATATGGGTGAAGGATCTTTTCTGCAGATCTGTTTTCCAAAGAGCTTTAGAGTAGCATGCTTGCTGGCTATTAGAGAGTTGATATAGTCATTCTTTGGGCTGATTTATTTTTTGCAGTTACAACAATTGTGCCTCTTGTGAATGCAACAGTAGTGGTGCCTGGAAAGGAGACAGAACAGAGAAGATGTGAAGAGATTCTATATACAGAAGGTTGCACACTACTTGATTGTGGCAAACAGTGCTACCAGAAGTACATAAAGAAGGGGGGAATGGGAAATGCATTCCCTATGCTGATATGACTCGATATGCTTGCTATTGCTTCTGGAACTGCTAGTAATTGTTAATGTCTCGAGTTCTTTGATTTTTTTTTTTCTGAATAATTGAGAACAGATAATGTACTCGTCAATGTGAGCACTAATTTTTTATTCTATCACAAAATTTGTGTTGTCAACTGTTTTTCAAACTTATTATTGCTACTAATTAAAACGCAATATATTTATGATCTAATAAGTGCATGATAAATTATATATAAACATGTCCATAAAAAAATTTGACATATACAAGTCTATTTAAATATCCTTTTCTCAATCATGGGCGGCCAAAAAAATTAATATATGAACTCTTTCTATCTTATGATTAATTAGCGTTAGATAGAGAGGAACTGATGAAGAAAGGAAACTGCCATATACATTAAATTGGGCAATTCTTGGGCAGAGACATTTCTCTCTTTTTTTTCAAAAAAAAAAAAACACTAATTTTATTAATATAAAATTGATACAAAATAAAATTTTAATGTTAACATCTACTACTCTCTTTTTTTTTTGACAAAAAACTTCATAATTCTAGTGAATTATTGTCTTTCAGGCAATATCTGATTACAAAAAAATAGAGCTATCTAAACATCTCAAATTATGATTTTTTAAGACAAGATTTTTCTTCCACACACTGCATGCAGACAGCAGACGAGCTTCTTACCATCATAGATTAACGGAAGAGTAAACCTATTGATGAAATATTTTATTAGTTGTCCAGCACTACCAATGGATGTCCATCTCTTTCAAACAAAAAGAAAGAATCTCAAAACCTTTATTCAAAGAATTTAATGTTTCAAATGTGGAAACATAAAACTCTCGTTCAAAGAGAAAAATATTTTGACAAAAACCTTCATAATTTTGATGAATTATTATCTTTCAAACAATATCTAGTTATTAAATAAATGAAAAATAGAGCTATCTGAACTTTTCAAATTAGGATTTTCTAAAATAGGAATTTTCTTCATACTGCACGTAGATGAGCCTTTTATTACCATAGATCAACGAAAGAACAAATTGCGATACCTAACTCATTGATGGAAGATTTTAGTAGTTCATTTCTTTCAAAATAATAAGATAGAATCCCAAAACCTATATTTAAATGATCTAATGTCTCAAATAGAAACATAAAAATCTCATTCAGACAGAGAATCATACTTATAAATTAGAGTTTTTTTTCACAATAAGATACTTTTGAATCTTATTTTCCATAATGAGATACTTTTAATCTTATTTCTCAAAATAATACATTTTATGCAATGTAAGATCTACATGAAAAATCCATATCATTTCTTTTTCAAAATAATATCCATGTCATGCAAAAAATAACTAAGAAATCAGTAAAAGTATTATATATTTGTTTAAATTAGTTTTTTTTTCTTCATAAAAGTGTTTATTGATTATAAAATAATGATAATAATAATAATTAAACTTTAAATGACAAAAAAGAATTATAAAAAAACTAGAGACTTTAGCATTACAGAATTCAAATCAAAAGTTTTCTTCTAAGAAATCCAATCAAAATGTCAAGGATGAAAATTGATCGCAAGCCTCCACTTCCTAAATCCCCCATCAGGCTCCGTCCTCGACGTGTTCTTCAATTAGAATGCAACATCACATCACACAAATTACTCCTGGTTCTGACTAAATCCTAGAAAACAAATTGAAAATGGGATATTGAAGAATCTGATCTCTTCCTTGAATGCCAGTTGATATCCTGCGAATTACGTGCTCTGTCGAGGATGGTTTGCAATGAGATTGGAAATGGGAGTCAATTAATGATGGGATTGGTAAATGTTTGAGTGCAAATTCTATGTCTGTGCTACTCTGTGAAGAGGAACGAGAATCCAAGGTACATGTTGAGGAGCATGAGTCAAAAGAACAACAAGCGTCCTTTGCTTGTTTACAGTTATGAGAAATATGTGCTTGCAAGTGAAAACAAAGTCACTTCTCGGAAGGTTAGGAAAATTTAAATTTTAAAACTAGGTTTTTGAAGATGGTTTTATTGATTTTGAGTTTTCTTTGAGAATTTAATCTGTAAGAGAAACTAGATCTTCATTGGTTTATAAAGTCCCGCTTGTTCAAGAAAATGTTTGTTTGTTTCAGATGAATAATTAGCATCTCTGTTTCTTAGATGATGATTAATATTAATAATAATAATAATAAAATTAAATTAAACTTAAAATGACATGGATAATTAAGCTTACATGGAAAAAAAACCCTTAATTTAGTAAATAAGATTTAAAGTATCTCGTTTTTATAAATAAGATTTTAAAGTATCTTAGTTTGGGAAAAAACTCTATAAATTAAGTCTGAAAATTAAAAATTAGAAAATAAATGCATAGATGAATAAATAGATGAGACTCGTCTATATAAAAAACGAAAAAATAAAAATGGAGTTAATTATTTGTTCAGAGACATTATTAATGCAGGACAGATTGAGACATTAACTATATATACAATTTCGAGATTGCAGAGACGGAGGAACATGAATGACTTTCTATGCTGTGCAAGCACTTACATTAATAAAAAAATTTCTGTAAACCAGGAATTAAGGTGCTCAACTTGAATGGGGGTTCGTACCAAATAATAATAATAATAATAATAATTGAATGGGGTTCGTATCAAAATAATAATAATAATAATAATTGAATGTGGGTTAAGTAGATTGTGATGCCATATATCACAATATTTACAAAATTTTCTTGAAGCGATCTCTTGTCAATTTATTCCTTTTATTAGCGAATTATTGTAGGGGTAAGTGAACTTTTTATATAATGTTTATGTATAAGATTGAAAGTTAGAATCTTACTAATCGTATTCTTAAATAAGTAACATATTTACGTCTATTTATCGTAACTATCCAAAAAAATTAAATTAAATTAAATTTCTATGTTAATATAAATGCAGTAAAAAATTTTCAGATAAAAAATATATAATGTGAGCACAATATTTTAAATCAAGATAACCTACGTAACTTTTTATTTTACTAAACTCTAATTAAACTTCGAAATTTAATCAAGGCCCTCTCTCAATTTAAGAGGTTACGTGCTGACATGACATGGCCTGATATGTGACCCGCGTCTCTACTACTTGGCATCTCTCGATGGACCGGCTAACCCGATATATTTTTATAGTTTTTCTTCCTAATTTCCAGAACAAAGAGGAAAAAAAAAGCAAACAATTTATTTCAAAAAGACAAAAACTAACGGAGATCTAAAGTTGCATGCGCAACCATGCGATCTGTATTTATAATGTTGAATGGAAAATTGTTATGGCCTCATTATCATCAATCGGGTCCCGAATTTTTTTATTTTAAAATTTTCTTCATGCATGCCGACTGTCAAGACTAGTCGAATCCAAGTTGTATAAGAAATTCGCCCTTCGTTTGAATTTCTGGACAATCAACCTTCAAAATGTACAGAGAAGGGGGAGAGAAGAGTGTATACAACAAGCTTAATTTTAGTGGTTTGATTTTGTTGTTTTCTGCTTTTCTTGGTAAATAAACCGATTCTTTTCTTGTTGAATAGACTATTTAATAAAAACTTTATTTTTTCCTTACAATTAGAAGTTTGGAATCCTGCTTTTCAATAAAGTACGTAATATTGATTAGAATTGGAAAAAAAGGGGATTCTAAATTCTTATTCCATAAGAGTTGTCATCTTCCACACAGCTTCTTGTACCATCCTTACTTCAGAAACATCAATTGGACTCCCTTCTAGCACAGGCAAGTTCTTAAAATTTCATTTTTCTTAGTGATGGCTAGGTTCGCCGGTCTTTTCTTTGTTGTTCTCCTTGTTCTCTCAGGTTTGTTTCCTTGCCCTATAAAACTTCTGTTGCAGCTTTCCTCTGTTAATTAGGTTTTGATTTGTTAGTTTATTTTTCATCAATCAGAAAAGCACAACATGCAATATAATAAAACTACGGAATTCTTTGATTATTTGTGCTTAATTGGCTCTTTGTTATTCTATATTTTATTAACAAGTACTTGCATTCTGCGTTTTCATGGGCCTTTTTTTTTAGTTTCTTTTCTTTTTTATTATCATTTCCTTTTCTTTTTCTTTTTTCTTTTAATAAAATGAGAGAGTAATTGAATTAGAGGAAGGGCATAAGCCTTACGAAGAACTGCACGACCCTTTCGAAACTGCCTTTAATATGCATAAAAGCAATAAGCTTTATTACAAATTACAATTATTCTTAATATATATATATATATATATATATATATATATATATATACACACACTGATATGCTTGGTTCTTTCCCTATTTTTTATTTTTCGGTTCACATATGCTGCAGCAGTGATGGTGCCATATGCCGCAGCGCAAGAAATGTGCCACAATCTAATTCCTGGAAATGGGGATTGTGATGCCTCAACTTGCCAGACGCAGTGCTCCAGCTTAAACCAGGGGACTGGAACGTGTACTCAAACTTTTACAAATCGATTCCATTGCATTTGCAATTGGGAATGTTCTTAGTTTATCTATGCCATTTCTTATAAAAATGTGTATTAAATCAAGCGCCAAATACCATCAAATGATCAGATTGGTATTTGACAGCGTTTTTTCTTCTTCTTTAATTTGCTTTAATTCATGGTTTGTTATTCCCCAACCAAAATCCTTCTTTTCTTTGGATTGTCGTTTTTAGCGGCAACCCTGATCAGATTATACCTTGAATGCAACATTGCTGAAGAAATCAAGGAAGACTTGATTGGTTTTGTACTATGTATATATGCAATAGACTTAGCTCATCAATCTCTTTTCCCATCACACTACTTCTACGAATTTGAATCTAAGATGTTCTAGTAGAAATTTCAAATCTTAGCCATTAGAATGTTTGTTAAAAAAAAGACGGGATTGTAATCGAATACCTCTGTATTAAATGAGAATTGTGTTAGGAATGATCATCAGATTACTTCTTAAATGCGTTATTTGATAAGAAAAATCTATGCACTTGTTATGGATTCGTGATCTTCGGATTAGTTTTA